AACTCTAGTTCCGGGAATTTTCAAAACAGAAGTCATTCCCATTTTTTTTTGCGATATTAAAACAACTGATTGATACGGAAGTCATCAGCGAGGTATTTTATAAACACACGATTCAACATTTTCTCTTCGTCTCTTCAATACCGTGAATGAATATATAGATTTTTTTATTCATTGACTCATCGTGAATACAATTGAATTATTTTAATGAGTTTTCCGACTCTTGGCTGATGAGTCGCCGTGAGTTGGAATATTGACAGACTGTCTATAGGGCACCCGGACCTGCCCTATTATAATGCTAGAAATTGGTTGATTTTGAAATGAAATGGGTTGCATCTGAAATGGGTCAATTCTGAAATGAAATAGATGTGTGAATACCCCCCCAAAAAACGTATTTTTTTTAATTACATCCATTGAGTCTTTGTTAGTGCACTTTCCTTTTTTTTTTTTTTATCTAGGACGGGATATTGAAACGTCTAGTTAATTATACACCAACGCACACCTGGGTGGACGTGAGGAGGCTGGAATGGTTATGGGGGGATGGGAGCTCTGAATACTGTATTTTCTGTAGTGGAATCTAACCCGACTTTCATATAATTAAAAAAAATAACTAGTGGAATACCGTATGCTATTAAAAATGAACAGAAAAAAAGAATATTTCATTTAAAGGAAGTAGACTATAGATGACTCGTGTAATTTAGTAAAAGCAATAGAATATGGTGTAATTTTCTCAGCATCAAAAATAGAGGTTACTTATAAAATGAATAGGGGGTTAATTTAACACGTTTGAGACTCAATTCGAAAACCGAAAAATTAGTCTCTCTAACACACACACACACACACACACACACACACACACACACACACACACACACACACACACACAGAAGAGGTTATATTTTTTTAAGCTTCACCTCGGCAGTAAACAGAGGGACACATCACCGACTATTGGCGAAACCCCGGGTTCGCACTACCCCTATCAGTGTGAAGCCTCCTCACTGCCCCCATCATTGTGAAACCCTCTCACTGCCCCATCATTGTGAAGCCCCCATCACTATGAATCCTCCTCACTGCCCCCATCATTGTGAAGCCCCCATCACTATGAAGCCTCTTCACTGCCCTATAATTGCGAAGCCCTCTCACTCCCCTCATCATTGTGAAGCCTCCTCGCAGACCTATAATTGCGAAGCCCCTTCACTGCCCCCATCATTGTGAAGCTTCCTCACTGCTTCTTGGCGCCCCAATACACACACAGACACACATACATACATGAAGCTTAATGAACATAACAGTAGGCTAAGTAAAGCTTGTTGAATGTTGCTTTTTTTACACTGATGTATCCTGCTTGATCATGTTATATCCTGTTTGGTCATGCTGTGTATACCGATGGAGAGAGCTATTGAATATGTTTTATATACGGTGAAGCTGGTTTAATACCGTGGATACAAAGATGAAGCTCATGACTGTATTTTCTAGAGCAAGGAAGGTGTTATTACAGGTACTGAAATTGGTGATGCTTTCTGAAGTAAACGAATGGCAAAAAAACAGAGAATTAGTTGCTTAGAATACAAAAATAAATATCACGTTTTGTCTACATAAAAATCTCGAGTTTATAATATCTGGTTTAAAAATTTTTGATAGAAAATAAGAAAAAAAATCAATGAATAACTTTTTTTTCTCATTTTAAAAGTGGTAACAGTAGACAGAGACAATTTAAATAACGAGTTACTTAATGCACAAAGGCAGAACATACCATACAAAAAACTCAGATCAAACAACAATGACGCTAAATGGATAAATAATTACTTAAAGAACATTATTGGTCAAAGGAAGGCTATAGGTAGGAGGATAAATCGTGGCGAAATTTACCTCCGGGATTATGATAAGGTATTGGCCAGTAGTATTAAGACCGAGATAAGGAAAGCAAAGAGGAATAATCAGCTGAGGATAGCAAAGGAGGCGAAGACAAACCCCAAGGGATTCTATCAAATGTATTAAACTAAAACATGAGAAAAGATTGGGCCAATACAGTCAGATACTGGCGAGCTAACTGATAGCGACGGAGAAATGAGCAATAATCTGAATAAATATTTTTCAACAGTTTTCACCACCGAAAATTTAAACATGATACCCGAGGCACTGGCTCTATTCAGAGATAGTGAAGAAAACAAATTAAGCAAGATAGTAGTGACTAGTAACGATGTTAGTAAGCAAATAGACAAACTAAAGCCTAATAAGTCACCTGGTCCCGATGAGATAGTTGCCAGAGTATTAAAGGAATGTAAGGAAGAGCTTAGTATGCCCTTAGCAAAGTTGTTTAACATGTCCCTAAAAACAGGTGTAGTACCAGAATCCTGGAGGATAGCGAATGTAATACCGATTTCCAAGAAGGGGTATAGATCACTATCCTCTAACTACCGTCCAATCAGTCTAACATCAATTGTAGGCAAATTACTGGGAGCAATCATTTCAAACTCTATTCGAAACCACCTGGAGAAGCACAAATTGATCAATGATTCCCAGCATGGCTTCACAAGCTGGCGTTCATGTCTAACTAATCTATTAACATTCTTTTCATCAGTTTTCGAATCGGTGGACGAGGGGCACAATTATGATGTGGTATATCTCGACTTTAGCAAAGCCTTCGACAGAGTCCCCCACGAAAGACTAATAAGAAAGGTAAAAGCACATGACATTAAAGGTAATATTCTAAAATGGATTAGGGCGTGGTTAAAGGACAGGAAACAGCGAGTGAGCGTTAACCGCACTAAATCCCATTGGAGCAACGTCAATAGTGGAGTTCCCCAAGGCTCAGTACTTGGACCATTATTATTTATTATATACATAAACGACATAGATATCGGCATAGACAGCAACATAAGTAAATTTGCTGATGGCACTAAAATAGGACGTGTAATTAAATCTGACGAGGACTCAGCAAAACTACAGGAAGATCTAAACAAATTTTTCGAATGGTCTGAAAAATGGCAGATGAAATTCAATGTGGACAAATGTAAAGTACTCATTATAGGAGATGTAAACAGGGAAACCAGCTACCAGATGAACAACGATTCCATTGTGGAATCCGACAGCGAGAGAGATTTAGAAGTAATGATAAGTAGGAATCTTAAGCCAAGTAAACAATGTGTTTTTGCTCGTAACAAGACTAATAAAGTACTTGGGTTCATACAAAGGAGTGTTAGTTACAAGACTAGCAAGGTCATCTTAAAATTATATGTTGCGCTGTGAGACCTCACCTGGATTACGCAGTTCAGTTCTGGTCACCGTATTACAGAATGGATATAGAATCCTTGGAAAGAATCCAGAGGAGAATGACAAGACTAATCCCGGGCATTAGGAACCTTTAGTACAGAGACAGGTTAAAGCATCTTAATTTGCACTCCCTCGAGAGACGTAGAGGGAGGGGCGACATGATAGAGGTGTATAAATGGAAGTCAGGGCTAAACAAAGGGGACATTACAAAGGTACTCAAACTATCCAACCAGGAGCGAACTGGTAACAATGGTTTTAAATTAGACAAATTTAGATTTAGGCGCGAAATAGGTAAACACTGGTTTGGAAACAGAGTAGTGGATGAATGGAACAAGTTACCAAATATCATCATTAACTCGAATACCCTGGATAGCTTCAAACATAGGTTGGATGTTTATATGAGCAATAGGGGTTGCGTGTAAATGGGACTGCTGCAGTTTCCTCCATTCATATGTTCTTATGCTCTTATATATCGTGTTTGGTTTGTGACTTACACACACAACTCCGGCCATCGTCTGTTAAACGCACACACATATTTTGTTCTCTTATTAACAACTGAAAGAGATGTTATAAGGTAAATTAATATGACATAATATAAAGTTAAAGTAGATATACGAACAAGGAACATTATCGGCAACTGAGGGTGATGCCGCCAACATATCTGATGGCCGGGATGACACGCGAAATTTATATTTAGATTACTTTTAATGGTAAATCAGGTGCGTTTAATATTGATGTGGTGAAAATAACATACTGTATAATCGTAATCTCGTAAAACTGAGGTTATATATATATATATATATATATATATATATATATATATATATATATATATATATATATATATATATATATATATATATATATATATATATATATATATATATATATATATATATATACACACACCCCAAAGATATACTCGTATAATCTCAGTTTTATGACAAATATTAAGTTAATCTCAATTTTACGAGATACGTGACCTTCGATCCCTACAGCACAAGAACCGGATACCTTTTAGTATCAGGCCTCACTTGGTATGATTACTAATTATATTCCAGGTGTTGAAGGATAAGGACATTAAAGATAGTGAGTATAATTATTAGTCTCGTGGTACAGGAAATAAATATTATGTACGTAGACAACCCTGACCTTGACTCTCCTTCCAAACCAACCGTAAACCCCGACTCTAGTAATAACATTAATAATTCTAGTTGTAGTAGTAGTGGTGATGGTAGTGGTTAGTAGTGGTGATGGTAGTGGTTAGTAGTGGTGATGGTAGTGATGGTGGTAGGGGTTAGTAGTGGTAATAGTAGAGGTGGTAGTAGTAATAGTAGTAAAAAAGATAGTAATAGTGGCAGTAGTAGTGGTAGTAGGAGTAACAGTAATAGTAGTAGGAGTAATAGTAGTAGAGTTAGTATCAATAGTAAACAAACCACAAGGCCACTATACAGAGAATATACTAAAGACGACTTTGGTTAAGGTTAGGTTAAGTTTAGTGTGTTCGTGGTTAGGTTAGGTTAAGTTTAGTGTGTTCGTGGTTAGGTTAGGTTAAGTTTAGTGTGTTCGTGGTTAGGTTAGGTTAAGTTTAGTGTGTTCGTGGTTAGGTTAGGTTAGTTTAGTGTGTTCGTGGTTAGGTTAGGTTAAGTTTAGTGTGTTCGTGGTTAGGTTAGGTTAAGTTTAGTGTGTTCGTGGTTAGGTTAGGTTAAGTTTAGTGTGTTCGTGGTTAGGTTAGGTTAAGTTTAGTGTGTTCGTGGTTAGGTTAGGTTAAGTTTAGTGTGTTCGTGGTTAGGTTAGGGCGAGTCTAAACCCACCCACTTGTCAGTACTGTACTGTATATAATATGTACAGTACAGTACTGACAAGTCTACGGTTAACACACACGCACACACACACACACACACACACACACAGAAAAATAAGAATAAAATAAAAAACAGAGGATTGGTTGAATTTAAGGGAATTAATTGATGGATTTAAGAATTAATGAAAGGTTCTGAAGACCTGACAGCCGCACCCTTATTCACTACCTCCTAAGATGTCCCCACACACAACGCTTCCGTGACGCCTGCTGGACCACCACTCCACGACCCCCTGACGGAGACACGATGATCCTCCCATACTGGCCAGATATTTTGTAAATAATATTGATTATGTGTTAAAGGAATATCCTTCCTTCCTTAGGCTTTAGTAAGCCCCTTTATAATATTTATACTGTATATACTTGTCACACTTGCCAGATGCTTCTGGTGTTATTGTACAGGGGTACCTAGTGACAGCACTAGATCCCGCTTCTCTATCAAGGAATAAACAATTGAAATTGAAATTGAATTGAAAGGTTCTGTCCCTGGGATCAAGACGTGGTGTTATTGCTGGCGATATCTGGCAATTATCTGCCTAAGGATCGTAAGTTTCTTGCATGTTGTCATTCATTTATTTTCTATAACGAAAAGCAGTTCGTGTTTACTAACTAAACCAATGCCATCTGTGACACGTACTCGATGCCAGATGTTGCTAAGTGAGGGGGAAAATTTTGGCCGTAAGTGTGTGTGTGTGTTTTATGTGTGTGTGTAGGTGTGAAGTATGTCTTATAGTCTTGTGCCCACATGAGCATCCATGGCAATCATCCAACAACATAACTAAAGAAGACTACTGAGGATAAAATCTATTTTAAAATCTCACGTGATTATCAAGGATTCAAAATTAGAATTCTGATTTTAGATTAGATTCTGAATTTGGCAGAACAATCCACGAATAACCAAAGTTTATTGGCTATTGGCACTCCCTCCTCACACCCTTTGTGGAAGATGTAATATTAAAGTTTAAGGTGGGATCGCCAATTTGGAGTTTCTAAAAAAAAAAGATTTGACTGGTAACCTTGTAGAGTTGGCGTCGAAGCGGGAATTGGAAATCATCACCAAAGAAGATATTTGGCTCTAATTCCCAGGTGAGATTTAAGATTAGAATTCCGAGGTAGGAATTTTAGTGCGACTTTTGAACTGGGGCATTACAGTGTGAAGTGGGGATTTAAGGATATATAGTTGGAATGTCTAATGTCCAAATTTTAGGAAATGCGTGGAGATTGGAGTGGGCATAACGTAGGAACGAACAGAAGTGTAATGTAGGAATTTTAAAAGGCAGTACAGTAGGAAGCAGGAAGTGAGGTGTATCTTGAGAATCTGATTTGGAGTTACGACGAATTACAGGTGCAAATAACAACTCATAACATCTGCACGTTGACTAACATTATCTTTTCGCGTTAACATCAGCGCGTTCACTTACTATCTAACACGGCTCTCACACGGTAACAACAGGGCGTTCACAAACCTCGCCAATGCATTATGAGTTCACAAATAGACGCTCGGGGTCAGCTGGTTCCTCCTTTAAAACCCAGTGGACGGCTACAAGCAGCATGATCTCTGTTTGTTTGTTTACCAGCGCCAGGTATTCTTGAAGCTCAACCTTTGGCAGTCAGTTCACCAGCCGAGAGATAAGAGCCTTTAATATCCGTGTTGCAAATACAATTTTTAATATTAAATCCGCGTTAATTTATTATATTTTTGTTTATGAGGAAGAAAGATATTCGTTGATTCTGTGTGATAACTTGTGTGGCTGAGAGAAACCGGTAAATTCAACGGCTGTGCAACATTCACCTGACAAACATGAGAACGGCGGATCGATTTTTTCCCCGCTGCGCAAATAGGCTTTAATGTCCAGTTCCCGGACCTTTTCGCTCGTGCAATTTTTTTAATTAAATTCTACTCGTAGTTTCTAAAATGTGTTTGTGTATATATTCATAAGTCTCGGAAGATCATAAAAAATACATAAATATAATCCCCTGGTTGAAGAAAATGTTTAATACATGAAGCGTGAGGCGGAATGCACCAGAACAGGTTTAGTTGCGGGAACTGCAGGTCGGTCGGTTGGTGGGGCTGTGCAAGCCGCCACCTCCACCCCCCAGGGCCTGTGCCATAGAGGTGACTTTGCCAGACATGCAGGCTGGGGGGATGACCACAGCAGATGTCTTGCACAAGGACCAAAATAGTGCGCTAACTGCATTTTCTCTCCGATCAAATGCTGAGTGGGGTGACTGATGAGAAAAAGCTGTTTGCTAGGCATGTGGCTGGAGCGTCCGAGTCCATCCGAGGGAAAATGTATTCATACATTTCCCCGAGACTATATTTGATTTATGCTGGATTTGCCTTCTTTCCATATCTACTGATGACAGCACATGGTACTGCATGTGATATAAGCTATTAGTTTCGCAAAACAGAAAGCAACTGCGGATACTGTTGCAATAATCAAAGCAACCAGCTCAAGGAATCGGAGACGTGGCCACAACTGCGCACTAGAGCAGGACTGGTCCAAGGTTAGCAGGAGGGGAGGGAGGGGGGTGCGCGGTTGCCACTTGGGCGTTTTGTGGTTGTGGAAGGTGTGGGCGTGTAAGACTATAATGATGGCGATGATGAGTTTAGATGGTGATAAGGACACTGACGGATAGTGAAACGTGTTGTAGCGTTGACACGTAGAAACTGAGGGCCATCATTAGCTTGGACTCGACGCCTTATCGAATAAATGAAGAGTAAAACTGATGTAAGTAAATGATAGGTGTAGTATAACTGTGCTTGGATAATACAAAAACTGCGGGATTATGCTTGAGTGTAAAGCAGGCAGCTGATCAATAGGGAGATAAGTGAGCTGAGAGATAAGTAAGACGCACATATACACCCGGCGACCCACGTGGGCAGCCACTTCATTTATTGTGATGCTCAGTTGCCGAGTATTATTTATTTATTATATTACAACCACTTCACCACCCATTTTCATGCATCTTCCTCACGTTTTATTCCCTCTGTTCATTACCTCAGTATACACGGGTATTTGCTTTAGACTGTCGAAGGTCATACCCATCTCTCGCCATGTCGCAAGTGAAATAGAAAAATAAACGAATATAAAAGTCGTGGGTAACCGGTGAGCGCGTATACCCCATGAACTCCATAGACACCAGCCGAGCGTCTTTCATTCCCTCTCAAACTTTACGTAATTTTATGCCCTTCATTCAATTACCTGAAGCTTACTATTAAAAAGAAGCATTCCATATTCTAACGCCAGCTTAATGTATATATTTTCAATGGCGTTTATTTCCACACAACGTAAGGTAAATGATAGGGAGTTTATACAGATCTGTTACGTAACCTGGGGATACAGGGGAATGACGCATTACTGATAACTCTTATCCGGTGTTATGGTGCTTATATTATAATTGTTATGTAGCAATTAGTGATTACAACTGAAATGCGGTTACTGTTGATAATGATAATAATAATAATAATAATAATAATAATAATAATAATAATAATAGAAAAAACTTATATCAACTTTACGACGACTTATCTAAATATTTTGTATAAGAATTTAAGTCTGAATACAGTAATATATATATATATATATATATATATATATATATATATATATATATATATATATATATATATATATATATATATATATATATATATATATATATATATATATATAATGCAATTACTAAACGGATTATTTTTAAACGATCTGCCGTTCATAAACCCAAAATTTTATAAGTAAATTTTTAAGATAAATCTAGAATCTTAAAAAAGTCGTACAGAAGGTATTTTAAATTTAACGATAAAAATGGAAATTCCACAAGGAAATTAAAATATATTGGTAAAAAATTAATGTATATAAGGATGAAAGGGAAGGGAAGTTTGTGAGGCAACAGATAAGAACTTTTCTCGTTTTCCAAACTTAGACCATCGTGAAGGCTGTACCCCCTCCTTCCTCCGTGACACCCTTCCCCAGTTCATGACACCCTCCGACAGCTCCCCGTGAAACCTTCGATCCCCTTCGCTCCCCCATGACACCCTCCTCAAGTCCTCTCGTGACTTCCTTCCTTTGCTCCCCATGACACCTTTATTCAGTCCCCCGCGACACCCCCCGCCATGACACCCTTTCCCTGCCCCCTTAGACCCCAGTGACAGCCTCATTCAGTTCCCTCGTATTATCCCAGTCCCTTCGTGACACCCTTCCCAAGCGTGTGTGTGTGTGAAGGCCAGATATATGTCCCAATAACTCCCTCTCAAACATTGACTCAGAATACCTTGCACTGATCTTGATGCTCCTTTAAACCGAGGCATTTACACTAAAGTGGTTTTGCGTGGTTCCACTTGAGGCTTAATAAGGTAATACTATAAGATAAATACAAGGTTGGCGTCTGATGTGAGACAGGTCTTACTTCTACACCATTAGATAGATACTCACTAAAATGATCATACAAATTCATATTGGTTGTGTGTGTGTGTGTGTGTGTGTGTGTGTGTGTGTGTGTGTGTGTGTGTGTGTGTGTGTGTGTGTGTGTGTGTGTGTGTGTGTGTGTGTGTGTGTGTGTGTGGGTCCACCAAAGATAACCCAAGAGAGATGTTCACAGCTTACAACACTTGGGGTGTTTTCTTAAGAGTGTTCGTGTTTATACCTTCACGGTTTATAGAACAATGTTAAGTTAGGAAGTCTTCTGTTTGTTGTAGAAGGCACCGACGGAAGAGGTGGTGGAGGAGGAGAGGAGAGACAGGAGAAGATGGAAGCGAAGGAGGAAAGAGGCAATATAGGAGGTGGAATCGGAGGCAAGGGAGCGGAGGCGGAGGTTGTCTTGACAGTGTGGTTATGCAGGCGTCCGATAGAGGCGCTGCCATCAACACGGAAATGAAGGTGTGTGTGTGTGTGTGTGTGTGTGTGTGTGTGTGTGTTTGTGTGTGTGTGTGTAACGGACGTGAAGGTCAAGTAAACAAAGAATAAACTGCCTCGTCCTCTGGTACTCCGGAGGACACCAGACTGTCCTCAGCGTGGGGAGGAGGGAGGGACAGTCTGATAAGCTCCTCATGCACAGTATCTGACTAGCAACAGCAACAACAACGCAATCTTATCTAAATCTGATTGTCACCAGCGGGGCACACAGCAATAGTGTGAACTCAGGAGTCCTTATAATTGGTGGGATCTGATTAACAACGTTTCTGGTAGGCGTTTGTAAGGTTATTCTCGTTGACGACAGGAAGCATTGGCACCCTGGGAGACTCGTCAGATAAGGCTACCAAAAACACCATTCAAAATCAACGACCGAGTATGATAACTGACACATTCCACACATTTTCTGGTGTTATCACGGTGTTGTTGGTGTTATCACGGTCTTGTGGGTGTTATCATGGTGTTGTTGGTGTTATCATGGTCTTGTGGGTGTTATCACGGTGTTGTTGGTGTTATCACGGTCTTGTGGGTGTTATCATGGTGTTGTTGGTGTTATCATGGTCTTGTGGGTGTTATCACGGTGTTGTTGGTGTTATCACGGTCTTGTGGGTGTTATCACGTTGGTGTTATCATGGTCTTGTGGGTGTTATCACGGTGTTGTTGGTGTTATCACGGTCTTGTGGGTGTTATCATGGTGTTGTTGGTGTTATCACGGTCTTGTGGGTGTTATCATGGTGTTGGCGTCTGACGGGTAACAATAAGGCAATGATAAGACAACAGCAACAGCAGCAAGGAGAGGTAACAAAGGATTCGCTAATCACCCGTTAATCAGTCGATCACAGATTAGACAGTCTGGCCTCTTCCTTTTTGTGAAATGAAGGTAATGACCTCTTTCTCTCTCATATATATATATATATATATATATATATATATATATATATATATATATATATATATATATATATATATATATATATATATATATATATATATATATATATATATATATATATATATATATATATATAATTTTTTTTCCACATCCCTCTGGTTAGTAAATTTATTTCACCAATTGGACCAATCGGAAAGAAGTTCCCTCCCTCACCCCACGTTGTAATTGGTTGAAACAAGTAACTTAATCATGACCGTAATGATATCGAATAGCCCGTCCTAATTTTGGCCCACCCCACCCCTAAAAAAAATAGTCATTATTTTATATAAGAACGAACCGTGGAAATAGAGGAAAGATAAATAATAATATACTGAAAATGAAAACAAATATTTAATGTATGTATAAAAGTCATTATTAGTGAATTGGGCAGTTAACATCTATGGGTGGTGACGGTGGTGAGGGAGGGAGGAGGTGAGAAGAATGTTAGCTTGGTGAGGGAAGGTGGTGAGTAGGCAGGGAATGGGGACGGAGGCAATAGGGAGGTCGAGGAAGGGAAGAGGGTGTAGTTAGGTAGGTTGGGGAAGGGGAAGCAGGTAGGTTGAGGAGAGGGAAGGCAGGTAGGGTAGGTCGGGAAACGGGAAGGTGGGGCAGGTAGGTTGAGGAGGGAGAGGGGGGGATGGGAGGGTCTCTTCGTTAAGCCTAGCCGTGAAAGGCCCTTTGACGCGGTCACCGCCAGCTATTGATGACGTAAAAGCCTAATTAGTTAATTATACACAGGGTAACTAGCATCACACGGAGCCCTAGCGGGGATGGCAGGAGGCAACCTTTTGACGTCGTCGGCAGACAGGTATTCACTATCTCCTGTGTGTGTGCGTGCGTGCGTGCGTCTG